ATCTTTCATCATCAAACCCTTTAATTGCTTTCCCCTGCCAGAATAAAGTGCGACACTCTACTAATGGCAGCCGGCAAAGCTCCGCTGGTCTCAGGACCTCCCCTCTACCACTGCCCCTTTGTTCTCTCTACTCCAGACCCTTGACCTTCTCTGTTTTCTACCAGCAACATGCTCACTAAGAGACCCACAGGAGACCAATGGCAGTCCAAGCATGCAGACACTGTTTTAACAATGAGTGCTAACGGAGAGAGGCACACACATACACAAACACACAAGCAATAAAGACAGAGGGATCTGGGGGGGCGGTGGCTCAGTGGGTAAGAGACCTCACTGTGCAATATGAGTACCAGAGTGTGAGTCCCAAGTACCCACATAAAACCCAGGAATGGCCTCACACAACTGTAACCCCAGCCTTTGAGGCCTGAGACAAGCACATCCCAGGAGTTTGGGTGGCCTTCAGGTTTGGTGGGAAACCTGTCTCCAGGGAATAGAAAGAGAGCAATAAAAGGAAAATGTCCAGTGTCTTCCTCTGGCCTCTTCTTGCACGCACATTAGTGCGTGAATCCACACCCATGCATGAGACATGCGCACATGCGTACACAAACACAACAAAAAAAGAATCTTAGGTTTATACGTAACCAATTTGTTTTCCTCTTACAAAAACTCCAGGCAGACACATTCAAATAGAATTTAGGACAATTAAAAAAGCTTGCTTTGAAGGTTTGCAAAAAATATAGGTTGCATACAAAGAGGAAATGCAGTGAATGGCCACATTCCCGGTATGCAGTCAGGTGCTGAAAACATTCGTCAAGCATTTTTGGTTGTTTTGCAGAGCAGAAAACTTCCACTCCTTCTGGTCAAAGGACAAAGCCCTGGAGAAATATAAATTCGATTTAAAAGAGTTCCTGGTCAGTACAGCCATTTGCATTCAAAAAGAAATTATTTCTGAAGCATCCCTTTCAGAATTCCAGTTAGAGATGTAAGATGACCGTTCAGAAATGGGAGCGTTTAAATTGAGGTGTGGAGTCATTTTGAGGTTACTAACTTAATAATGTTTGAGCCATCAAATAAATGTTGCATAGTGCTTTGTTCATAACACATGCAAGTTATATCTGGGTTAGTTTGGGTTAATAGTCCCTTTAATTATCTTAATGAGGCTTACTTGCTATATGCTTCCATTCGACCTCATCATACTACTGTCTGTTTTTAATGGCTTCCCTAAAAATGGGTGTCAAGGGAGTCAGTAGCATCTAGGGAAGGAGAATTTAAATCTGTGACTCTGACTTCATTGATGGATTCCACAGAGCTTTAAGAGCACCTACTGTAGCAGAGGAGACACAGCAGCGACAAGGCAGTCTGCGTCTTACAAGAGTCTTAATGTCCGGTTGATGTTTGTTAGCATGTAATCAGAATGTGAAGAGTAACTGTCGAGGAAAAGGGTTACAGCAGTGTTCAAGGACAGTGTCTAGGAGGGTTCTTGGTGGGTGTAAATTCAAACAAATCACGCAGAGATGCGGCTTTCCTCGGCAGGAGAAGCAGCCTTAGCAGGCCTTGAGGCAGTGTCAGGCACCAATCACCCCTGATGCTCAGCCCTCCTCACACAGTTCCACTTACCTGTGCTCAGGAGCCCAGGTCCTCTCTGTCCCCCCTATTTAGTTCACTTGTTTCATACCTTTGGATCATTCTCTTACCTCAGTTTCAAATGGGAAATCTTCAGAAGGCACATTCCCACCTCCAAAAAGAAATGCGTGTAAGTTGTCAGAACAGTGTGGAGGGAAATGGACACAGCCCACAGTGGGACTGTCACTCAAAGCGCCCTGTGGAAGCAACTGTCTGAGTTGATGCAATTTAGGATCAGAAAGGCTGGATTTAACTATCTACACCTGACTTCATTTTACCACAGCACAAACCTCAGGCTGGCAAGAGATTTCGTTCAGCAGCATCGTTTCCCAGGTGTTCAGCAGAGCTCTTGGCTCATGTTAAGCATTCCAAAAATAATTGTTGAAATATCTAATTAATTTTATGGGGGATATTATGTTCTGAGAATCTTGACTCTTAAGAGCCCCTGGTGATCCAAAGAAAGAGGCGAGGTTTCCTCAGAGTGGGTGGTCGACGTTCTAACAATGCAAGTCATCCACAGACAAGGCTGTTGAGAAGAGGCGCAATGTGGACCCTGCGGCTCTCTCCCCAGGGCTTTGGAAAAAGCCTTCTTTGCTAAATGTTATCTCTGTGTGGCAGGTAGATGTGATTTTTTTTTTTTTTTTTTTTTTAGCCTGAAAGTCTCAGATGCTCTGTAAATCCACTCATCCTCAGAGCCTTATCTTGCAGGACTGGGGAAAAAAATAAACTTTATGGGTCACTACTAAAGAGACAGAAGCACAGATGGGCCAATGTCTCTAGACTCTCAAAGGCTAAGACCAGCCCCTACTGAGAAGTTCCTGACTGAGGCTTGGTTCTTCCCAGCTTTTGAATCTCTTCTGAATCTGGACTTAGGATACCAGATGGATTTTGTTTGTTTGTTTGGTTGGTTGGTTTTTGGTTTTTGGTTTTTCAAGGCAGGGTTTCTCTGTGTAGCCCTGGCTGTCCTGAAACTCACTCTGTAGATGAGGCTGGCCTAGAACTCAAAGATCCACCTACTTCTGCTTCCCTAGTGCTGGGATCAAAGGCATGTACCCCCATGTGGCTTGAATATAAGAGTTTTTATACCAAGAGCCCCAGGAGCCCTGAACACCTGATACTGGAGGGCCCATCCAGCTAATTACATGATTGCCATCCTCTTCCCTTTGCTGTCTCTGAGCTGCCCTTGGGCTCTCTCAGCCTGTGAAGTCCCTCCTGTGACTCTCTCACGCCTATTCTCACTTCAATGGGCTCAGCTACATCTACTTACTGCCCATCAAAATCCCCCGAGGCAAAGAAATCATCTTGCCACATGGGAGCAATGAAAAGCAGGGCAGTGAACAAGCAGAGAATATCAAGAAATTTTCATCCCCCACACTGTCATGCTAAGCCATTTGAACCGGTCTCGTTCAAATAACAGTTAAAAAAAAAACACCCCCTAGGAGGACCCCAGGATGGGGGCCAAATGCCTGGTATTGACACCATTCACCCGCTCCCCAGAAGTAAGCAGAAATGGGGGACTCTTGGCCAGGCTCATTCCCATGTCCTCAGCTCCCACAACCAGAAGGCTCCTGCCAGCTCCCGTTTGGATTCTATGAACTCCCCCAGCTGCCTAGGAATCTGTCGGGCGTGTGAACCTTTCCACCTTCTGCCACCGTGAAGCTTTCTTCCACTCTCACCTCAAGCCTCTAGGAAGAGTCTCTGAAACTTGAAAAGTGACTCGCTCAGATGCTGCCGCGGTGGGTAGAATATAAATGTTCAAGAGCCCTGACATCTTCTATGGGGCCCTTTCAGAAAGACTTCAAAGAAAGTGCTCTCCAGCTTTGAGGACTTCCCACATAAGTAAGAAATGAAAGTAATTGCCCCTTTCTGGATGTATCTGATCTCATCTAGAGAGACTGCCTTGTTAACCAGGCTGGAGAGACTGTGAATGTGCCTGGGGCCTGAGCGGTGCGTGGACCCTCAGGGGAACATGGGGGGGGGGGCTGTGTATCACTGCCTCTTCCCAGCAGCCCCCAGGACGATGTGTGGGCACTGATATTTAGAAATAACCTCTTTCCTCTCTTGGAGAAATTGTTATTTTTCTTTTTCTAAATACTGAATTTGTCAGGCATTGTTGTTTGAGACAGGATCTCAATGTAGCCGAGGCTGGCCTCAAACTCACTTTGTAATAGTCAAATATAACCTTGATTGTCTGATCCTCTGGCCTCTCCCCCAGTTCGGAAATTACAGACATGTGCCACCATGCCCAGCTTAAGAAGTGATGGGGATTGAACTCAGGGCTTTGACATACTAGGCAAGAAGAACTCTACCAACTGAACTACAGCTACAGCCACTAAGATGAGGTTTTATAGAATGAAATTCATGCAGTGAAATTAAAATCTTAATGTCTTATTGAAGATGTGGCTTTCCCCCCTATTTACAGAATTTTATCATGTGTCACAGGAGATAGGGGCTGGCGTTGAGCTAAAAGGAAGAGCTTAGATATGCCCAGCCCTCCATTAGAAGATGAGAATACACAGTGGGAAGATTTTAAAGTGAAAAAAAAAAAAAATGAAGCAAATGTTCCCATTCCTGGTCCTCAGCTTCCCTGGAAGTCTGGTAGAGCTTTGAAGAGGGATGAATGAAGTAACATCAGAAAAAATGCACAGCCCAGCTGGGGCCTACATAAATGAGCAAGCTTAGTTGGTAGCTCGGGCACATTCTAACCCAAATGGTATTTTTTTTCCTCAGTCCTAGATACACATCAGAGTTATCTGAGTGTTTTTTCTTTTCCTTTTACAATTAAAGTTTATGCTCACCTGTGTCCCCTTGACTGAACTGTCCTGTTGAAGAAGTTTCCAGGACTTTCTGACGTACAGCTATGCGATGTTGAGAAACGAAAAGCCCGTAAGGCCAAGGACCATGCATGTCACTGAATGGACACCAGACAGGTGGGAAAGGGGTGGGGACTTAAATATCACAGTGAAATTTAAAACTTGACATTTGAAATTTTTGCAAATGGTATCTTACATCTAAATAGCTAAACATGTAATTGCTACAGAAAAGATAAATAACAATGACCACCGTAACAAGCGCAAAGCAATTAGGCTTAGTACAATTTGGGCTTGGTGGCTCATGCCTGTAATCCCAGCACTCAGAAGGCCCAGGCAGAAGGAGCACTGCAAGTTCGAGGCCAGGTGGGGTTACACAGTGAGCTGGAGGCCAGACTATATAACAAGACCTGACCTCAAAAAAAAAAAAAAAAAAAAAAAAAAAAGACAACCAACCAATCAAACAAACAAAATAATTGCAAATGAAACAGAGTCCTTGAATGGTCTATGTCTAGGAAAAGACTTGTTGACCCAGCTATACACAGAAAAAACACACAGCTAACTTAACAAGGGGCGGGGCAGTCATTTAATGCAGAAACCCAGTTAACATAAAGAGACACAAGCAAACATCAGAGAAGGCTTCAAACGGTGCTGCATAGTGATACGGATCAGCTCTTACACGGTTGGTCTGTTATTCCTCTGCGTTTGAATCCAGTACAAGGACAGGGAGCGAACGCCAATTCGTTAAAAGCAATAATAAGGCAAGAGAAGAAGAGTCCTCTTGTGACGAGAAACATCCACAGAAAATGCACAAATGTCAGGTGCTGACACGAGACGACGCCAGGAGGACATGTTCTGAAGATACTGCATTAAAACCGAACAAGCCTGGAACAGCGACAAGAAAATTATACTCGTTTTGTTATGAATCCTTTTGCAAATAGAAACGACTCTCCGGTAATCATTATATACAAACTTTCTGAAGTGAACGGAAACCGTACAAATTCTCCCATTTCTGTTCCTCATTTCTGAAGCCTACAAACGTCTGGTTGCACGGGTCCTCATTTCGCACAGTCAAAGCGTAAATAGTCATTAAAGCACTTGAACCCACAGTTGTTTTGTCCTTAGAAAGGTCGGGAGGTCCTGCACAGTTTTCTATCAGTCATCTGGAAAGGGCTGCAGGCAACAGGTTGGAATGTAAAAGACCTCTTTGTGCTTAGTACCCTGACGTGAACTCAGTTCCACTCCTAACGGGACTCAGACCCGCTCGGTAGCCGAGCCCTCTTCGGCACAGACAGTCATACCGTGGAGTCCCTGCCAGACTTTAGTTGTGCTAGCTTGGTCCGGCTGATGAACGGATAGGCAATGCAGAGCCCTCCAGCTGCCACGGTAAAACCTAAACTGCACCAGGCACAGAAGACGGACCAGCTGTAGCCGTGTTCCACGTCGTGAGGCAGGCTGTAAATGAGCTTCGGGACCCGGTTCAGATCGTAGGAGATGCTGGCAGCATACGTGCAGAGGGAGATGGTGCAGAAAATCCCTGAAAGTCACACAGAGAGAACAGAACAGTCAGTGCCGCCTTTGCTCGTAACCAGGCAAATGCCAGACAAGCCTTTGTGAAACTCACACATCACTCCACATTCGGGAACACCTGAAGGAATTCCTTCAAGAAGCATTGACAAATAGCAGAGAAAAGTTAGGTAACTCGTATCACTTCGATTTATTTTGCCTAGTTTAAGTAATTTTGTATGGTTCAATTTATGCTTATTTTAAATAATGTAATAAAAAAAAGTCATATCGTGTGTGTGTGTGTGTGTGTGTGTGTGTGTGTGTGTGTGTGTGTGTGGTGTGTCTCCTCAGTACTGGAGATCAAACTCCAGTTTTCATGAGAATAAGCACTTCAGGCCATTTTTGTTGATGCCGTTGTTTGTTTGTTTGTTTGTTTGTTTGTTTTTCTGAGACAGTGTTTCGCAGAGCCCAGGCTGGCCTGGAACTCACTCTGTGGGGAAGATGACCCTGTGTATCTGATCCTGTTGTCGCCACCTCTGGACTGCTAGGCATGTACCACCACGCCTGTTTTTAGGCGATGTTGGGGACTGCATCTAAGGCTTCTCAAACCCTAGGCAAGCACTTTGCCAACTGAGTGACATTTCCAGCCCTTAAAAATGTTGTTATTTTTGCGGGGTGGAATCTAGCAATCTCTCGAATCCAACACAAAATAGCTGTCGTTTCCTTTACTCTGTGCTGGAGACGTACGTTTCCATATGGTTGCAACCATTACACCATCATCTTGTTAAATGATTGTTGTGTTTATCATGTTGCCTGTAAAATTGAATGAATTATTACAAGTGGCCATTTTTTGGGTAAGATTCAGAATCTAATACATACTAGACTGTCACCAATTTCTTTTTAAAAATGAAATGATGAATACTTCCAAAAAATATAAATTAAATCTAGGAATTTGGGACTGATATAAAAATCTTAGTAAAGGTATTTTGTACTTCAATCATGCAAACTGTAATTAATTTGAGTGGTGAATATATATATATATATATACATATATATATACATATATATATATACCATATATACACACATATGTATATATGTGTGTATGTATGCTATATAGTGCACATGCATCATAGATATACATATATGTGCCAAATATTTACCTTAACATGTCAATATTTACATATATAATCATCCTTCAAGGACACTAAAATCAGAGCTGTGCAGACAAAACAAGAGCTCATTTGGCAAATTTCTTGCCTTGTAAGCATGAAGGTCTTGGTTTCGATACCCACCTAAAAAGCCAATCATGGCAGCACATACTTATAACCAAGCCCTTATAAGATAAAGACAGGAAAGACAGGCAGATAGATCCTCAGGGCTTGCTAGGAGCCAGCCTAGCTCACTGGACCAGTAACAGACATTGTCAAAACAAAACTCAAAGATTGCCACCAGAGGTGGGCATCTCTCCTTCCCCCTCTCCCTCACCCTTTCCCCCCACCAGAATTCTGATAAAAGTGCTTTCTTAGTGCTCAAGTGATGATCCAAGGGATAATTTATGGGGGTGGGCATAGAACGAAAACGGGGTGTTCTGCTGAGTTCATGGAATAAAATGAACGAATGAAAACAGAAACTGGCATTCGATCAAGTGTCAGAATGTCCAAACCCCTCACAGTCGTCAATCACACTCTGGATTATCCCTGTGGACAAAAAGAAAGTGGCATCTGTTTGCTGGGAAATAGCTTTCATATCCTTGGGGACAAACGAGGCACTGATTTTTAGAACTGAAAAGACAGAGGCAAAAAGAAGCAAGAGCTCTACCCCTGTTTTAATGTGTGGCTTTGGAGACCAAAGCCACCAGCCGAGAAACAAGTCCAGAGCAGGCAGTAATTCTCAGGGAACAAGGATCACCCTAATGCTATTTACAAGCTCTAGACTTCTGCTTCCATTCAGATCATGCAAGGGCATAGTACCTAAATCTTTTTTCTAAATGCGCACTTGGAAAATAAATATTCTTAAAAAAAAAAAAAAAGGATGCTCTAGCTGAGATAATTTGCTATTTCCTACTCTTTGTCTGGGTTTGCTTCTAATCTCTAAAATAAATGACTCTGTTGTTCTGAAAAGGATAAAGTAGTATCTTTTGACTTCTCTCTGTTTATTTTTTAAACAGCAGATATATCACTCTAATCGTCCAAAAGGGAAACAAGGATGGAAATCATTCTTTCGTCGAGAAATAGACCATTTAAAAGAACACTTCCCTGCTTTTACCAAGCCCTGTGTAGGACAAAAGTCTCTACATCTGGCCATATGACTGCACTGAGAACAAAAACCATATTTGTGAACAAGACCCTCGAAGGAATTCTGATGCTAGAACAATAAGGCTATGGGGGGGATTGGTCTCTGGGGGATCAACAGGTAGACCGTAATGTTGCAACGATGACCTCTTCCCAGAGAACACTGCTTCCTCTCTCACTTGAAAGTCCAACCACGGCTGACTGCCTAAAAGCAAGCATTTCTACCAGCAGCATGATGTTAATGACCCCTGAAAGCTTGAGTTCAAGCTTAGACTTCCCAAGCATCCTTTGATGTAAAATGCACTGGGCTGGGCTGCAAGAAATACTCACTCTAGTCTCAGCTCTCTGCGACCCAGATACTGTACCGCCTTCCCTCGAGCCTTAGTCTAAGGCAGGGGCTTGGCAACGCAAGTCTCTTACAGTGTCAAGCACTCGTAATTCTGCTAATCCGAAATAAGGCACGGAATAAGTGTCTTTCCTAAAGATGCCTTTGTGGCTACAGCACTGTTAGGAAATGAAGCTTAAAAGAGTGTAACAGCTTGCATCTGTTGCTCTCTGAATACATGTTGATTTTGGTGAGCGCCCCACCCTCCACCAGCTCTACAGGGCTGTATCTGCTGTGGTGCATGTTAGTACTCCGCCCTAGATTCATGCTGAATAGGAAAAGGGGGCGGAGACCCATATAACCCGCAGACATGACCAGGGCAAAGGTTTCTCCCTGCCTCGTGTCCTGAATGCATGTCTGTTTTCTGGGTGCGTGGTGAGCGCACACCTCGTGGACACTGTGTGAGATCTCTAGCTGGGTTTCTTTCTCACCCAAGCTTTAGGGGCTGAAGCTCCCTAAAGCTAAAATCTGTGTGCGCCCCCCCCCCCCCGCCCAGTGAGCAAAATAGAGGCTGTTTTGGTGTGCTTTTAGCATCCATCCTCCCTCTTGGATCCAACTTGTCTTTCGTTATGGTTTGGAGCTTAACTGTCCATCAAAGGACGAAGGTCGAAGTCCTGTTTATCTGCATGTGAGGGTTAAATATAATAATAATAATTGTGTGTCAGTGGTGGGCCTGAGAAAGGAAGTTGACATGTAATTATCCCGTGAGCCTAAACTCGGGAGGAAAGGGAAGACAGTAGCTGTGGAGGAGGAGGGGAATTACTGTTAGCTCCTTTTCCAGGTCTCAAGCCACAGCACTAAATAGCCAGTTGGGGAAAGGAAGGATTATGTGTCAGCTTCCTCTCTGGAGCTGACCGCTCTATTGTACTTAACAGTGAGCATGACTGGGAGACAGTGGAACCCTTGACAGATGGGAACTGGTGGGAAAAAAATGAGGTCACAGAGGTATACCCTGAAGAAACTATTGGAACTTCATGTGCTCACTCTGTCCATGAGCCCAAAGCAACGGGGCCAAGAGACCATGAACTTAAAACTCAAACCATGAACCCAATAACAAAACAAAACTTTCCTTCTTTTTAAATTGAACTACCTAGGTGTTTGGTCATCTTTACAGAATGCCAATTGTTAAGATCTAAGTGATTAGGTACCATGCAATAGGTGTGGTCCAAAGAGCTTTACTGAGCCCTGAGGGCAGAGGGAGAGAGACAGAGACAGTGGGAGAGCGTAGGAGAAGAGAGAAAGGTGGGTGGGATGGGTAGAGCGCTGTGAGAGAGAGAGAGAGTGTGTAGTGAAGGGTTGGTCCTCTATATCTGGCGCTCAGCTGAAGCATGGCTGGCACACACCTGTCGGAGCAGGTGATGACGTCAGGTTGCTAGGCAACCTAGAAGCGCTAGGAGTGGGCTACCGCATCGGCTTGTGGACCACTAACACACTCCGCAAATTTAATTGTCCCTTTCTCTTTCCTTCTTTGCTTTTTTTTTTTTTTTTTCATAAAATATCACATTCATCTCCTAGCCACTCAGGTTCTTTTTGGAAGAGGTACTCGTCAAACTGACAAAAACTGGTTTGCCTTGCCTCAGGTGACATGGAGTAAGGGAGACCAGGCCTACTGTCTGCCCAGCTCCATCCCACAGACCCCTATGGGGTGCTACCCTCCTGCAGTGCCTTTCCTCCTCCTAAAAGCTCCTCCAGTTGTTCTGGGAAGAGGAAGACAAGGGAGAGGTGAACAAGAAGAGCTGTTCCATCCAGAACCTGCAGCCTTGAGGAAGTCTGCGAACACCTAGCGGCTACAGCTGTTCTTGGTATAATAGAAAAGCTTGTTGATGACCATACAAGGAAATGTACTGAGAGAACACAAACTTTTACAACAAGATCTTGCAAAAAGAAGTCTGTCCCTTTAGAGATACTAAAAGGAAAGGCCCCTGGGGGTCCAGGTGCATGCCTTTAATCTCAGCACTTGGGAGGCTGGGATTAATCTCTGTGAGTCTGAAGCCAGCTTGGTCTACAGGGTGAGTTCCAGGACACCCAGAGCTACATACTGAGACCCTGTTTCCAAACAAACAAACAAAAATTCTGAATCTGATCACATCAGGGAAAAACCATCATTCAAATAGCAAAGGCACACCTACTGCAGTCTGAGCTTTAGCTTAGGTCATTGATATTAGGAGCTCTGTTTTAGGTTCCACACACATCTTACGGTGTCCATGTGTCTGAGCTTGGTAAAGCTGCTGTAACAATGTACTACGGGACAGGGTGACTTAAAAAAAAAAAAAAAGGCTACTTTATAATTCCGGAGGCTGTGCATCTAAGCTCAAGGCTTTAGCATGACAGTTTACTTCTGAAACCACCGTA